CCCCCAGGGAGAGCATTAATCTATTCATGAGGGATCCGCCCCCATGACTCAATCAGTTTCCAACACTGCCACGTTGGAGATCAAATTTCCACGAGTTTTGGAGGGGACAACACATCCAAACTACATCACATGCAGTCTCTAGAAAACCCTACACTTGGGAAAGAATGACAGTAAAAAAAACACAGATAACGTCTTAGTATTACTGTGAAAAAGTTTTGGACCACCATCAGAGTCCTGAGTTCCCTCAGAAGTCCCTGGACCATACTTTGAGACTCCCTGACTTAGAGAAGAGAACAAAGAAGTGAAAAATTATTAGTTATTGGGTATGGTGATACCCAATAACTAATTATTATTATATACAGTTTATAATTTATTGGCCATTATGGTTCATGTGTATGGTTATCTAATGTGAAAAACTGTGGGAGCTTAAAATGTCACTTGAGTCTTACATCTTCTTTAACCAAACCCGGTCATACAGAGCTGGGTGTGAGATAAAGTTGGAGCATGCTGCAGTCCAGTTCTGAATTCAGTCATCTGAAATACGTGATGTGATTCAGGTTACATAGAAAAGGGCTTTTTCTCTCTATGGAGAGTTGGAATAGTGACTAAAGAAGAGTTCTCTAAAATTGGAACCTTCATTCGTTGCTGGTGAGAATAGAAAAGAGTCTGGCAGTTCATGAAAAGGTTAAACATAGAGTACTATATGACCCACCAAATTTACTCCTAGATATATATACTCAAGAGAAGTGAAATGTATGTCCACACAAAAACCTGTACAAGAATGTTCATAGCAGCATTATGCATAATAGCCAAAAAGTGAAAACAGCCATAAATGTCCATCCACTGATGAATAGACAAACAAGATGTGTTATATCCATACACAGAAGAATTACCCAGACATAAAAAGGAAGATTACTGATACACACAACAACATGGATGAACCTTGAAGACAGTCACAAAAGACCACATGTTGTTATAATTCCTAATGAAAGAAGACAGTCACAAAAGACCACATGTTGTTATAATTCCAGTTATATGAAATGTCCAGAATATGCAAATCTATAAAGACAGAAAGTAAATTAATGATCACCTAGGGCAGATGAGAGGAATGCTACATGAAAAATGTTTCTGTATATTGTTAAATTGTAATATCTATTATGTGGTCAGTGTTCCCTTTATAAGTACTCATAATTCTTCACAATATCAAGAGTTTCTCTCTTTTAAAGAACTAATGAATCTGCTTTTTTGTTTGTTTCATTTTAATACTTTTTAATATCAGATAAGGAGATCACTTTTACTTGTGTTTCTTTTGGCCTTGGCTGCTATTATTAAATTCTCCATCACAGAATAGCTAGATTAGGCAACTGGTATATTTTCTTTTTTTCTTCTGCACATTTGATTGTGGGTTTTTAAGGTTTTTACACAAACTAAAAGGTACATGTGTTATTGGAACATGTTTGCAATCTTTATAAGAGGTAGTTGGGGTTTAAATTAAAAACAAGTAAATATAAAAAGTATACCTTGAAAAACTAGGCAGCGTTTGCCAAGATAGAGTTCTTCTGTGTAAAATGGCAATATTAGTTTTCAGGTATAAAAATAATATTTATTATTGAACTAAGCTTTTAAAAAGTGGTGAGCTCGTAGACACTGGAATTGTTCAAGCAGATGCTGGATGGTGCTCTGTTTGTAGATACTGTAGTGGTGAATCCTGTACCGGGTGAGAGATCAGACTAAATATGGCCTCTAGTGTTCTCCCAGTCTTAAGACTTATCATTCTGTGATTGAACTGAAGAATAAATTTTGGATGATACCAAGTACTGTGGTAATTTTAAAATGGATAATTTTTATTCTAAGAACTTATTTGAGTTCAGAGTTCTAGACATAAAACATAAAAGAGGTAAGATAATTTAGTGTGAAAAGATATCAAGAACAGATACTACTGCTACATTGCCTAAAGAAACTCAGTGTAGCTGTCGTTCTGAATGTGTGTTTTCAATTGTGCTGCAGCTCTGCTAGGATGAATTAGCTATACAGTGTGCCCCTAAATATTGCTAGTGTATTTTAAATGATTTATTTAAACACTGGAGTATATCTTTTATACTCCTATATATATATATATACATACATATATATATATATACATACATACATATATATATATATACATACATACATATATATATATATACATACATATATATATACCTCAGTGTAGCTGTCGTTCTCAATGTGTGTTTTCAATTGTGCTGCAGCTCTGCTAGGATGAATTAGCTATACAGTGTGCCCCTAAATATTGCTAGTGTATTTTAAATGATTTATTTAAACACTGGAGTATATCTTTTATACTCCTATATATATATATCTGTATTTTAAAAATAAAACACACACACATGAAAATATCAGCATAAAGAAGGGGATAGATGTATGGATAGATGGATGGATGGGTAGATAGATATTCTCATTAAATCCCCCTCTGTCACTGAAGATCATCCATGTAAATGATCTAAAAGTACAATTTGGGTTGTGTCCAGAAGACCTTGGTCACCAGCTCAGTTTTGCAGCATTCAGGGCTGGTGTTTCATGAGTATTTCTGCCCAGTTTTGCTCTTACTGTTGTTATTAGGATTTAGGTTTTGCAGAATTTATTAATAGCCTAGCATCAATTTGAGATTATGTCTGTTGGTCTATAAATATAATTTATTTCTATTTAATGGGGCAGTCAGGTGCTCAGATCTGCCACACCTGAACAATTAGAGATGTAGGAAGAAGTTAATAAAAGTGTACCATTGGAAAATTTAGGTTACAAAATTGTCTTCTAAAAACCAGGTGGTAAGAACTCACTGGAGGCTGGAACCTTGCAATAAGAGATGAGCTTTCCAAAAGCCATGTATAGTGCAAATACAGTACATAATAAAGCATGAAGGAAAAGCAAAAGTTTGTTTCTTTGCACTTGTTTTCTTCTGCCACATTCAGGTGGAAGTTCAAGTTTTAGGGGTTCAAGTTTTTAGTTGTTAAGAAATGCTTTTGAAAAAGGAAAAAGGAAAGAGATAAGAGGGAAGGAGAGAAAGAGGAAAGAAAGAGCCTGTGGATCAGAGGAAATGCACCAGTTTCCTTTTGGGATTGAGTTTAAGTCTTGTAAGTAGCAAATTACTAACACTGCCAAGTGTGGTTAGATCTAATATATCTTGGACTGAGACATTATCTAACAGTCTTAATTCCTTATAGTGAGGGATTTTATAGGCATTCCTAATTTTGTCCGTGTGAAGAGGATTGGATGTTCTGCAGGTCCACAGAGTGATCCTAGTCGATGAGAAAGGAAGGTAAGATTATGAGAGGATAAGGGTTAATGTGAAGGACTCTGAGGCAGCAGAAAGCACACGTGGGAGTTTCATGCTTTGTGTGCCGGTTATGGATAACTTTTAGAGCTACCTGTAAAGCTTGTTGCTGAAACACATGAAATTTCATCACATATTATCATGTATTGTGGATTTCTTGTTCTTGAGAAACTCTACAACTCTAGTCAAGACTTGTTTGCAGAGAAAGTTTGGAACCCTTGTTTGGAAGGCATCCTCCGTCTTAAAAAACCTATTGGGAATAATTCTCATTCTAATCATTGCCACTCACATTTGTGGTCTGTGGATTTTGGAGCATGAAACAATAAGAAAAACTACTTTTAAATTTGGTGTCGAGATGTGTATAGGGAAGGAGAAAATAGCGGACTCAACTAGTTTTTTTCAGACTCATTTAAAGGACTGCAGAAAGAGAAATTCTATGGATTTACTTCCTTTTGTGTTCGCCTTTAAGCAATTTTATAAAGAAATCTGGACCCAACCTCTTCTTCCCTTTAGGATGAACATTTTAAGTTATCTGGGATAATTTAAATTCATGGAAGTCATCTTATAAAGAGGGAATAGCTCTGGATAAAAAGAAAACTAATTGTTCTCATTGTACTTTTGAGGTGTCTTTAGGGCTGGATTTGTCTACTATCTAGTTTTCAAGTAAAGACTTAAAAAGCAACTTACTTCCGTGGGAAAGCTATTCATTGAAATATTCTGCTCTTTTTGTTGTTCCCTATTCTTTTTTAAAAGATAAAAATATAGTTAAATATATGAATAAATGAAATAATTATTTGGGGAAGATAAAAAGATTATTAAGATCTAGATAATAATCTTTGTTCCTTGGGCAGCTGCAAAGAAGAGTTGGACTTTCTTTTCACAGAGCAGGCCTGAGTGGTCCCCATTGCTTACCCTTTGGTGAGATGATCAGACACAGGCATGAAACATCGATTCTTTTTTATCAGATTCTCCTACCAGGGCAGTAGAGGATTATGGAGTGGAAATATTATTACTGTGTAGTCTGTGTGTGTATTTTCAAAAAGTATATACGCAATATGTATCATTTCTTTGTTTCTTTGTGTTGGGAGGCAGTTATCTATAGGTCTTTCACATTTCTGAACATCTTATGAGCAGAGGTTCTGACTGTTCTGGACAATCTTTTCAAGAATGTTTGCATAGTGAATAACCTAGGGCGATAGAAAGTATCTCCCTCTAGATCAAAGGACAGGTTTGCTTATTGTTCAGTATAATGAAGTAAATGTCTTCCTCTAGAACAAAGGGCAGACATACTTACTACCCATTATAAAAGATTTGAGTTTCCTAAGCTCAAGATTATATCCTGTAATATAGGACATTGAGTGTGCAGGTATTATACTTGGCCCTCTTCATGTAACTGTGGGAATAGGGGTTCAGGGAATTGATGCAAATGTTGATATTCTAGCTACTGTTATTGATGTGAATGCTAAACTGTTCTTTGTCTCTGACCTAGGAATCTCCTATCTTCTAGGACCTGTGAAACTGGCAGATTAACTTGTTAACTTGCAAATATGGTGAATAGTAATGACTCATTAAATAGAATGTATTTGGAAAGATTTCTTGGAACTTATAAGTTTTTCAATTTTTAAGAAGTTCATTTAGTATATTATTTCTCCTTGCTTTGATATAGGGTTTGTTTATAATGTCAGCCCATATATGGAGTATCATCCTGGTGGAGAAGATGAACTAATGAGAGCAGCAGGATCAGATGGTACTGACCTTTTTGATCAGGTAAGGTACTGAAAGTAATCAAAGTATTACAATAGAAGAGTACTCATAGATTTAGTAGTATGACATTTGTACAAAGAAAGAAAATAGTTGCATGAATTTCAGATGTGTTGGCTTGAATTTTCAAGTATGGGAAGATGCTCACAAATAGCAACTGTTCATTTAATTTGTCCTTGAATTATTTTATTAAAATTTTAGGGATGGTTTCAAATCTGTTATCTAGGAGTCAGCTCTTAAGTACTTGCTGCCTCTGCTGGCAAGTTTTTACTGAGTCTTCATTAATTTTAATAATGGTGATGATTGACTTATGGGAGGCAGTGACAATTGGTAGAAAGGACATTGGGATCTGCTGCTAACTTGCTGAATTACTTTAAACAAGTCAGTTATCTTCTTTGCTTATAGTCTTTTCTCATTTGGGGATTGTTATATATTCAGCCTGCCTCACTATACTGAACCTGCCTATCATGTAGAAAGTTAGATGAAGCTGATTAATGGATAGAAAACTTATTTTTCCTGGAGTGAGAGGTGAGTTTCTGTATGGGTTATCTCAAAAGATATTGATATTTAAATTTGTCATTTTTCTACTTCATTTATTAAAAACAACATTAGCTCTTACACTATTTAAAAGTCATACAGAATATGTTTATTACCATCAATTTGCTGAGACAGCAGTCTTTAGAAGGGTAGAAATTTGCTTTCATCTCCCATATTCTTTATTTTGTATTTTAATGGTGATTAATCATGTTGTAGGACTAGGTGTTTATCATTCGAGGTACCTGAATCAGACTGGATTATTTTATAGTTTTTTTTTTATCAAATACAATTTGATTTCTGTTCCTCCTTTGGAATCAATACAATTTGATTTTTGTTTCTCATCCATTTTAGGATTTGTTTTTTGGCCAGGTTGCCAGAAATATAATTTATTTTATATTTAAAAGTTCTTAAATGCACGTGCTTAAATGGCAGAATATCATTTGCTATTAATGTTCTTTCTGGGTTGGGAAAAATTGTGTTTGCATATTGGTCCTTTTTTAAAAAAAAATTTATAAAGAAATAGAATTTATTTCTTACACTTTGGGGGCTGGGGAAGTCCAAGGTCTGGGGAACACATTTGGTGAGGGCCTTGTTCTGGGTGGTGACTCTACAGGAACACCTGCATATTGGTCCTTTTTTAAAAAAAAATTTATAAAGAAATAGAATTTATTTCTTACACTTTGGAGGCTGGGGAAGTCCAAGGTCTGGGGAACACATTTGGTGAGGGCCTTGTTCTGGGTGGTGACTCTACAGTAACACCTTCCCACCGGTCTTAATAGCATTCTCCTTGGGAGGTTCTTATTGCTGTTTTAAGGCAACTTCTCATTGTCTTTTGGTATTGGTTATTATCTAGCAATGAAAGCCAAATAGAAAGGTTTAGGAACATTTGCCTAAAAACATGCCATACTTTTCTCTTGTGTCTGCCCTATAACCTCTTGATGCTGACTGTACTCTTCCACAAGAAGAATTTCCAGTAAAGTCTAGTCTGTCTTACATTCCTTAGTGTTGTGAGGTTGTATGGACCTTATTTAAGGAAAGCGTGTTTTGAGGAATTCACAAGAACTGCTATATTGTTAAGTTCTTTAGCAGTTAAAATAATACTTTAGTTACCAGATTGCTGCATTCCCCTTGGCTTTAATGATACCAGTGATGTTTAAATTATTTATGACTTTCACTTATCATGAACGTAGACAGCTTTATATTCTAGAAACTATGGTGAAGCTTATTGTGTCATTCAATATAAGAATTTAGTTATGCCTAGTGTTCCAGTTGTACGAAGAACATTAATCTCTTTTCTGTCATAATTCTGTTTTCAGTTTTGATCCCTCTGCTGACCTCTTGTCTTGCATTTCCAAATGCCAGATGGGCAATTTGATAACCTGTTGGCACTTCAACTCAGTGTGCCCTCAAACAATATCAGCTCATCTTTAATAGATCTGCAACATAACCAGTGCTATTTTAGACAAACCCAAGTACAAAATGGCACCGTCCACTTCCTCTCCTCCCCTCCCCTCCCCTGTTCTCTTTTATAAGAAGCCTTATGGTTTCAGAGAAAATGAAACTTACTGCGTTTCAGCATGCACAGAACTCTCCATTCCCATGACCTAACTCAATCCCCACCCCGGAATTACATCATCCAGCTCTTGGTGCCAACATACCAATATAAGCTTCCACTGCCCTATGTTAGTGGCTGTCCCCCATTTTCAGGGCAGCCCCAGGCTGTCCTCCATTTTGAGTACAGCCTGGCAGATTTCTTTCTTCAATAAAGCTTGAATAGTACTCGGCATCTCGGCTCACTTTCTTTCATTATGGTGCCAAAACCCAGGAAGGGTCTTGGCTGGACCGTCAGACAATCCCCTCTCTTGGGTTGATTGGTTCCCACCCACCCTTCCTGGACCTGCCAAAGCCAGATGCCTCTGGGACTCTCTCCTTTTGCCGTTTCAGACCAATGCATCCAACACCGGCCTCAATTCAGGGTGAGTCAGTGGGTCTGTCCTGCCTACTTCTACAGGGTCCCCCGACTACTCTCTATGACTCTGGTCTCTATGAAGCTCAGGCGCCTGGCCACCGGAACTCTTCCCGTGCCCCCAGCTATTGGAGGACACTCTTCTAGCTGGTCAGTGGCTTTTCTCTCGAGAAGAAGGTGGGCACCAAAGGGGACGCCCTTTGCTGGCACTCTTCTACTAGGACTGACTGCCCTTTCTCACCCTCTACATGGGATCCTCATGATCCAAGCCTCCATGCTCTCCGCCCTTGGGCTGTTTCCTGGCCAATTTCTTGGCCTCCAGGGAGACATTAAACCTAAACTTCTCGTTTTCTACTGTATTCCGTGCTCTATGCCTCCAGGCTGTCTCCTGGACAACCTCTCCGTCTCCAGGGAGACATTATAACTTGAACGCCTCATTACAATGGATCCCAGTGGCCACAAGATGGCACTCTCAATTTAGATACTCACTGAAGCAGCAAGACAGAGATTCCTTTACGTTCAGGCCTTCTCCTACCTCTGAATGTGTCTTCTCTCTGTCAAAACTGTCCTATGTCTCAAATTCTCCTAGCTCATGCTTGACCTCACCTTCCGGACTCGGATCAATCTTCTGATCAGTCAGCCCTCCACATTTCTCTCTCTTCCCCACACCTGTCCTCCAGATGCTCATCCTCAGCCCAACTCCTCCCCTTCTCCCCCTTCATCAGGTAACAACCCCGTCTCAGCTACGACTTTTTATAACCCTTCTGTGAAGTGGCTGGGATGGAAGCAATTGTCTGAGTCCATATACAGGTAGCAGGTCTGGATGGTGGCTCAGGTACATGTTCAAAATAATAGGTGGCCTGTGGGAGCCATTGCTGTTCCTTGCATGGACCCAAATTGGAACTACCAGGCTGGCCATGAGGATCGAGATCTCCAGGATAACATGATCACACACCTACTTCACAGCCTCCAAAAGGCTACTCACAAGTCAGTCAATTATGACAAGCTTAGAGAGATCACACAGAGATCCACTGAAAATCCCAACGAGTTCCTAACCTGCCTCTCTGATGCTTTACATGAATACACACATATAGATCCAAACTCCCCTGCAGGCATGGCCCTCTTACACTCTCATTTTATTATACAATCAGCCCCTGATATTAGAAAAAACTATAAAAGAGATCAGGCCAAATACCAGCTCCTGGCTAATGCCATCTGTGGCTCACATACTCCAAAACTGGCTGCCTCAAGGGGCAAACCACCCGAGAACTGCTTCAAATGTGGTCAACCGGGCCATTTGGCATGGGTCTGTCATAACTTGTCCTCACTGCAAATGGCCAGGTCACTGGGGGATTGACTGTGCCACTTGCCAGAGAAGGAGTGGCCCAGTCTCCAACCTACAGACTTTGGCTTCACAGCCCTCCCTACCGGATCTTCTCGGCTTTGCCCAGGAAAAGAACTGCCGATGCCCAGGGCCTGAGGCCCCCATGGAGATCACCACGTGTGAGTCCAGAGTAGTTCGCCTTGTAAGCAGGTAAGCTGATCTCTTTTGTCATTGATACCGAGGCCATTTACTCTACCCTTCCTGAATATACAGGACCAACAACCCCATCCTCTATCACAATAGTAGAGGTCATGGGATCAGAATAGTGCCCACAGATCACTCAACCCCTTTCTTACACCCTATAACAAACCCAATTCACACACAAATTCTTAATAATGCCTCAATGCCCAACCCCCTTACTGGGATGGGACATTCTTTTCATATTCAAAGCTACTCTTACCCTAAACACTTTAACTCCAGCTACAATACTCCTGTTACAGGCCGCACCCAGACCTGGCCCCTGGGGCTTCCACCTTCCCCTCCCCCTCGGACAAGGTTAATCCCTAGTATGGGACACTTCTTCTCCCTCCGTTGCTACGCACCTTTCCCCTATCCTTGTTAAATTGCAGAACCCCTCTTTATTCCCTGATGTCCCACAGTACCCCATCACTAACAAACACCTAATAGGCTTAAAACCTGTCGTACTCAAACTCTTTCTCATTTCTCACGGCCTACCCACTCGCCTTTCAATACACCCATCCTTCCAGTTATAAAGCCTAAGGGCTCATACCGGTTAGTACAGGACTAATCCCGCCATGCAACGATCCAAACAACTTATTTGGGCAGTACTGCCTCAGGGGTTTCAGCATAGACCCCACTTTCCGGCCAGGCCTTAGCTAAAGACTTTTCTGAATTTCCCCCAACCTCTAACACTTTAATACAATATGTGGATGACCTCCTCCTTTGTAGCCCCTCCTATGAGGATTCACAGGCCCACAGTGTTGCTCTCCTTAATTTCCTGGCCTCCAGGGGATATCGAGTGTCCCCAGCAAGGCCCAAATTTCTTCTCCTTTAGTCACCTACTTGGGAGTTCACCTCACCCCCAATATCAGAGAAATAATGGTGGATCGCAAGAGCTAATTTCTGAACTCCCTACTCCTACCACAAAGAGTGAAATTCTCTCTTCCCTGGGGCTTGCAGGATATCTCCATGTGTGGATTCCTAACTTTGGCGTGCTAGCAAAACCACTTTATGAGGCAGCCAAAGGGGTTCCTGCCATTCCTTTAGATCCCACAAAGCCCATTCATTCCCCTTCCAGTGATTAAAAGCTGCTCTCCTCGCAGCCCCAGCTCTATCTCTTTCAAACCTATCTCATCCTTTTATCCTATACATCACCAAAACCCAAAGATTGGCAGTTGGGGTTTTGGGACAAAAGGCAGGAGATATTTTCTCCCCGGTTAAGTACCTTTCTAAATAACTAGACACAGGGCAGGCCCGGTGGCGCACTCGGTAGAGTGTGGCGCTTAGGACTGCCGCGGCACTCCCGCCAAGGGTTCGGATCCCATATAGAGACCGGTCCGCTCACTGGTTGAGCGCAGTGCGGGCACGACACCGAGGGTTGCGATCCCATTACCGGTCACGAAAAAAGACAAAAAGGGGGGAAAAATAAATAGATAAATAAATAAATAAATAGACACCACATCTCGAGAATGGGCCCCTGTTTATGGGCCTTGGCGGCAGCTGCGCTTTTAACCCAAGAAAGCTCTAAACTAACTTTTGAACAACAAACAGTCAAGACCTCAGCCATAAGGCCAAGTCAATTTTCTCCTTTTCCCGCCTACAACTTATTCACCTTACTTTCATTGAAAACTCCCAGTTCGGGCCAGCCTCGTGGCGCACTGCTACAGTGCGCCGCTTGGGAGCGCGGTGGCACTCCCGCCGAGGGTTCGGATCCCACATACAGACCGGTTCCCACTCACTGGCTGAGCGAGGT